ACGTATGCGATTGTTTGTGGGCATGCGCGTTTAATGTGTACCGAGCTATAAAGCTGAGCTAAAAATTCATTTAGTGTTTGCGGATTGCTTTTCCTTATCTCGAATTGAGTGGCTTATTATTTTTTGCAGACGGTGAGAGAGCAATTTCATAAACGTAAGCTTGAATGAACTTTCGATTATGTCAATAGAATTTTCCGTTATATTTACTAATATGTAATTTGTATCCCAAAGCAAAGTTGTTTTGAAATCCAATCTGTTTATCAATTTTCACGCCGCCGATTGGAATTGTCTGTCATCACTATCCTTATCTTCAGAGAGATGTTTTTATTATATTTTATTTGGCTTCTAATTCCTTACTACGTGTAGTATTTCATCTCGATGTACTTGACTTCCGTCTTGGATATGATTTAATCAAGTTCCTCCGTCATTATAATTCGCTTTCCGTAGTGAAGAAAGTGACCCAGAGGTTATGAAAACGAAAACATTTCGATTGACAAATTAGTCGTATTCTCAACTGCCAGCAATTATAGGACTTGAAACAGCGGAATTTTTGTAACTAAAAAGAAATTATGGTCTGTTATCGAATTAAGCGAAAGATTTATCAATGACAACGAAGCAACTTACATTGAAAGAATGCTTAATAAGTAACAAATAAATATTAAGCTTTTCTTTTTGTAATTTTGATACCCTTAAATCATAATTGTCTTTATTTATAATAGCGTTTCATATTTTTATTTTGTAATTTCTGCATGCCATCTTACCAGATTTAAACTGATGATCTATAATCCGTAAAAATCGATAATCCGGAATCGCCGAAGTCCCGACGAGTCCGGATTAACGACTTTTGACTGTATCACTTAATAATCTTCTCTCACTCCTATCGTGAACAGCTACCAAAATCAAACCATCTTAAAACCCACTGCCCTAAACTGCATGTCTACTAGAATAACAAACTTCTTAAAAGCATGCAAAGCCAAAAAATTGCCAATGGGGTCCTATACTCAAGCTATACCAACAATTCAAGCATCAGTTTCAATTTAATATGGTTTCTATTACCATTGCTGAAAAAAACAAATACTGTTTTGGAGGGCAAGTTTAGTTTTCAATAAAATATTCATTTTATACTCATAACAATATGCTAAATATAAAGTTTTGGTTGATCTTTAGAATATGGTAACTGGTAGTTTGGCGACATTTTGGAGGCGATAAAGGTTACTACCTGGGACTTTGGTAATAATGTGAGCAGTACTCAGTTCCGATTACGCATTATTTTGTGTGATGGAAATGAGAGATCATGGGATATGTCTGTTATTAATGGACGAATTACGGTTCTTTAATCGGAAAGGGGGGAAATCCGAAAGAATCTGGAATTTGTATTTGTTTATTCTGTGTTGTGTGAAAGTGTTTCGTGAATTTTGGATCCCATGGCGTACTAAGAAATTTTATCAGACACGTAATCAGATTCAGAAGAAATGAGGTAAGTTTATTTTAATATTGAGGATATTATTTTATGATGTTCTAAATGTAAGGCGGAAGTAAAGGAATTTGGTATTATTGGGAAAATTGGTTATTAGCAATGATTTATTTTAAAGTAATTAGGATTGTAAGGTAATTTTTATTAATTTAATGTATGTGCTCATTTATTTAAGTAGTGTTTTTGAATTTAATTATATTTTAATTAAATGATAGTTATTTTGTGAATTTTTGTTTGTAGGAATTTGGTACACGTTTAAGTTGAAGTAAACGTGCATGGAGATAATTTAAATTTTTATACTAAGTATTTGTAATGCTTGCGGTATGAATTCGTTGGTGACGTGTATAATGTATAGATGATTTAGAGATAAAGTTTTGGATATTTTATTTATTTTATATGTGGAAATGTTCATATTTTGGAAAGGGTAAATACTTTTCGCGATCAGTAATTTTCATATATGTTCTTTTTACCGGGTTTAAAATTGAGAAAATTGTCATGTATTTTCGTGAAATTTTTTCTAATTTTATGAGAAAAAAGCAGTGTACATGGATATAGTGAAGAGTGTGCGCAATGCCATTTTTTTGCATTCTGGATTTTTTTAAGTAAAAATAGTCGACGTGTACATGGTTTAGTGATATTTTAATTAAATGATAGTTATTTTGTGAATTTATGTTTGTAGGAATTTGGTATACGTTTAAGTTGAAGTAAACCGTGCATGAAATACTTTAAATATTTGATACTAAGTATTGTAATGCTTGCGGTATGAATTCGTTGGTGACGTGTATAATGTAATAGATGATTTAGAGGTAAAGTTTTTGGATATTTTATTTATTTTATATGTGGAATGTTCATATTTGGAAAGGGTAAATACTTTTTTCGCGATCAGTAATTCATATATGTTCTTTTTACCGAGTTTAAAGATTGAGAAAATTGTCATGTATTTTCGTGAAATTTTTTCTAATTATGAGAAAAAAGCAGTGTACATTGATATAGTGAAGAGTGTGCGCAATGCCTTTTTGTGCAATTCTTGGATGTTTTTTTTAAGTAAAATAAGTCGCCATGTACATGGTTTGTGTATGTGTTATTTTGAAAAACGCGTAAGGAGTATGTATTTGTGCACTTTTCCCAATTTTGCAGTGAATATTTTGTCATGATTAAGCAGTTTTGTTAATAAAATTTCTAGCATAAGTGTAATTCGGCTAGTAGATTGTTGGAAGAAGTGTTCAGTAGATAAAAAGAAAAGAAACATGTCTTTACTTCGTGAAGACAAAATGGTGGCGGGGGAAAAAAAATGGAGGGTTGCTGTAGGAGAGTTGGTCGCCAAATTTTCGCCAAAAAAACGCCAAGTTACCATAATGTAAAGATCAACCAAAGTTTTTTCTGATCGGATATATTAAAAAAGATTCAACAAATTTATCAAATACTACATTCTAATTTTGTTATCACATAGAGTAATACATCATTTTAAAATTCTCTTTTCTCTGCAAAAAACTATTTCCTTTACTTTTAATATTTTATAGTTAATTTAATTACCATTTAAGAAACACACCATACCATTTACAGATATTAATATCAATATTTTATACATTTTATATTTAATCATCAATACATGTTCAACAGTATATTCAAGAAATACCACAATTATCAATCGAAATCTTAAAAGTAAAGCATGCACTGAATGCTACTGCCTTACAATTAAAACTGTTATTTAACAGATACATTGGTACTACTATGCATTAAAATAATATTTTTTATTTTAATTTTCTGGTCTTGCACTCTTCACATTTTACTTCTTAATAACATTTAGGTGGCTACACATCTTTTAAATAGATTTCTGAATTACCTAATTTTAAATTTGTTTAATATTTTAAAATTTAAATTGGAGTTGATTAGGATGGAATCTGATGCTTAAACACAGATTCTCAAACATTATGAATTTTTTTATTTGTTGTATTAGAAAAAGGCCTTAATATTACTCAATGAATAATATCTCTAGAGAAGAAATTTACATTTTCATAAACAGGTAAAAAATGCAACCTTTAAATAAAAACTTTAAATGTTTTTCATTATTTTAAAATACAAATCTATTTTTATTCATTTTCCTGATGATAATTTTTTAAAAACAGCATCAACTAAGAAGATGATTAAATAAGCTGTAGTTTTGAAAGCTATGTAGCAAAAGGTCTTAACATTATATAATACATAGGATTGCTTTGGAAGAAAAAAATAACTGATATTAAAACAGGAAAACACAAGCCACAAAATGAGCAGAAATAAAGCTAAACATTTCACTCGAGACACATTTTATTTTGATTACTTTTCCAATCTTGAGAACAATTTTAAAATTAACTGATTAGAAATATTCCCTGCATATTATAAGATCTTCACAGAGAACACTGACATATGGCATACCATTTGATATAATGAACTCTAGATATATAACAACCAAACTCTTTTGATAACATCAAATGAATCATACAATCATGTTTATGACACATCTATGTATTTTAGTACTGTTAGTTATTTATTTTACAACTTTCACTCATCTTTAAAGAAAGAATAAGGTCTTAGACGAATAATATAAATGAATAATGAAATAATCATATAGAAACTTAGAATACCTTCAGCAATTATATCTTCTACAGTTACTGTAAAGCGTCCAACTGTGAAAACTTTTCCAATAAATGTATTTGGTTCCTTGCTTGACTGATCCCCTCGTGCATCAAATCTTGAAAACAGTTTCTTCATTTTTAAGGAAAGCAGAGAATAGAAACCAAGTGACAGGATCAATTAAATAACCTTAAACAAACAACAGAAATTTATACCACAGTAAAAAATTGACAAAGACATTAATAACAGTATATATCTGGCAAATTTATAGAAAAACACACCCTTAAATACTTTTCTTGTAAAGCTAAAATATAAAACTAAAAAAAAAAATATGATTTAAAATAGATCTAACAAGAGAAATTAGAATCCTAAGAAGCTCAAGATAATATATATAATACTTAAGATAAAATTTATTACTTCATACATAAATCGGAAATAGTCGATTGCCTCCACTTTTCTAAATAATCACTGCATTGTCAGAAGTCAAATAAATACAAGAAACTACGTCTAATCAATTAACAAGTCTTGAATTGAACAGCTTAAAACTCTCAATAAAATCATAAATAAAAATTTTGTTTTAGGAACAAGAAAACTTACATTATGTGGAAGCAATAACTTTCTTTTTAGGAACATAAAACTGCAGATGTGCTGCATTCGAAGAACAGAGCATTATTAAACTTTCAGCGCTTAGATCCTTTCCTTTTTAAAATAAAATACGATACTAACAAAGCACTTTCATATCTACATCTCGATTACATAAATTAATGATTAATACTCTTGATCATTTCCGTAACAGCTTCGCAGCCTCCGCATATCAGACCCTTCAGTGAAGCCTACTGCTTACGTTTGGTACCGAGAGGAGGAAAACTGAGAGTTGAATTAGTTTCTCCGAATGGCAACATCGTTTGGTCTGGTTTGGTGTTTACACGGAATTTTAGCGTGCAGTCGTTAGATGTATAATTTTCAAAACAAAGAAAAATGAGTGTTAATTTTATTTTTAAATATTAAAATAATCTATCAAATAAATTTGATTTTTGCTGTAGCAAAGCGTTGTAATTTAACTATAACCATACGAATATTAATTGTAAATATGGCTGATATGGAAACTGGTCCAACGAATAATGAGGAAAAGTAAGTTTAAATATTCCCGCGTTAATAAATTTTTACCGAAATAACATAACCACTCATTTGAATAACATTTCTAATAAAGATTTTAAATTACAACTTCCTGTACCTACCTGTTTTTGCTATTATGTATAAAGACTAATTTTTTCCGGTATTTTGAATTTAAAGGTCTTTGCTAAAAAAAGGAATTGCAATTAAGTTAGGATGCAACCACTACGTTTTCAAATAGAAATCTTTAAATTGATGTAAAGAATAGTTATAATGTGAAAATATGGATGAACATTTTTCTAATATTTTTATTACCATTTTAATAAAATACTTCATCTGCGCAACTAGATATAATAGTGACAATTATCATTTTCGAAGTTCTTCCCGCACAGTAGTTTAGTGGGAAAATCTGTTATAAACTTAATATTCCTTTTTTTATAATTTTATTTCAAATGTAATTTAAAATTAGTTAAACTCTATTATTATCTAAATAGAATGATCAGTTGTATATTCGCGGTTATTTAAAGAGGAAACTTGTTTTTCAATTTTTATAAAATATATAGCCAAGCAGACAAAGAAAGTGAATTTGGAGAACAGAAATGAGGAGTGACGTTGTAAAGGAAATTGTTTAAGGTTAATTAATTTCTGAGCTTTTACAGTAATTTTTATTATAGTTAATGAAAGAATGAAATTGTTGAAAATATTCTCATAATTAAACAAAAACGTTAAAAGTATTCAGTTATGTTATTCAGATATGCCAATTTATTGTGGAAGAATATTTTCGCTCATACAAATTTATAACTTACTTTTTGCAAAAATTTGGATTTAAAAAGCAAACTCTTCATTCTTAGAATCCATAGGGATTTCTTTTAAAATTTGCATCAGAATTGAGAAAGATTTTACATGATTTACTTCTGATAACTATAAACACATGAATATAGGTTTAATTTTTTAGGAATAGTTGTCTTTAATTACTTGCATATTTTCTGGAAGTGCAGTTCAGCATTCAAATTAATATACATATAAGTGTTCAGTCTTAAAAGATGAAAGACAAGTTATATTTAGTAATAAGTTACTTTTAATGGTGTGCATTAATAATGAATTAATATGTATTTCTATGCATCAGATGTTATTGATAAAAAATATTTTAATATAATGTAAACTCCAGATTTTACATGGTAAAATGGCTGAATGTGGCAAGATTATGCAAGGGTGGTTTATGGAAGCTGGCTTCATGTTATCGAAATGAATAAATCTTTTATGTTCATTATACAGTCAAAAGTCGTTAATCCGGAATTTGTCGGGACTTCAGCGATTCCGGATTATAAATCATCAGTTTAAATCTGGTAAGATGGCATGCAGAAATTATAAAATTAAAAATATGAAATAAAGAACAATTATGATCTAAAGGGTATCAAAATTTACACAAAAAAAGCTTAATTTTTATTTGTTTACTTTATTAAATATTTCTTTCAATGTAAGTTGTTTAAGTTGCTTCGTTTCTTATGTGATAATACATTCTCTTTAATTCTATAAACAGATATAATTTCTTGTTCAGTTACAAAGTTCCGCTGTTCAAGTTATATAATTGCTGTGTCGAGAATACTGACTAATTTGTCAATCGAAATTTTTTCGTTTTCAATAACCTCTGTCACTTTCTTCGCTATCGGAAGCGAATTATAATGACGAGGAATTTGATTTAAATCATATCAAAGATGGAGTACATCGAGATGAAATACTACATTTAGTAAGGAATTATAAGCAAAATAAAATAAAAATATCTGCCCTGAAGATAAGGATAGTGCTGACAGATCAACTTCCAATTCATTGCGCGCTGTGGCGTTAAAGATAAACAAAGTTTAGATAAACAAACGTTAAAGTTTAAATAAACAAAGGATATGCCTTTATCCATTTTTTGTAGCAATTCCACTTTTTGTTTAATGAACTTCGAAACATACTTTCGCTTTGTAGATCCTTTACATATTAATAAATATATATCAGAAATTCTATTTGAGATAATCGAAAGTTCAAGCTTACTTTTATAAAATTGCTCTAACAGTCTGCAAAAAATAATAAGCCGGATCCAATTCGAAGATTAAGGAACAACGCAATCTGCAACATTAACTGAAATAGATAATTAGATAATTTTAGCTTAGCTTATACCGTCCGTTATACATTAAACGCGCATTCGTAAATGTATTTTGCGCATGCGCACATGCATATTCGCAGCCGTAAAGGTTTCTGACGCATGCGCAGAAAGTTTGTAGCTTTGAGGTCCGGATTATAGATCATTTCGGATAATGGGTGTCCGAATTAACGACTTTTGACTGTAGTACTTTTTGTCAGCTTAATGCATAATAAACTGTTGTACTATTTTAACAGATGCCCAGCCAGTATAGTTGTCAGTGACAATTACTGCTGTACTAATTGGTCCAGTTTAAATCCTAGGAGCATATATAAGAGTATAATGTGTTGGTGCAGTTAGGAGCCTCTGTTTTTGTTTCTTGTCATCTGCATTAGCCTTGGTGAGAAACAAACTGTTACCGATTTGTGCATGTGCAAGAAACAAATGAAATTCCACACTTTCAGTATAAAGTATAGTCTAGGATACCCCTTGGCGATTTTTCGCGGTACATGGATACCGATTTTGTGCAATTCTTCGGCTCGTTATTTTGGCTTGCGAAGCAGCGATTTTTGCGCCAAAAATCGCCGCTACACAAAGCCAAAATAACAAGAGAAACAATTGCACAAACTTGGTATCCATGTACACATCGACTTATTTTCACTTGAAAAAAAATCCACGAATTGCACAAAAATGGCATTGCGCACTCCTTTGACTTTATCCATGTACATGTCGACCTATTTTCACGTAAAAAAAAAACAAATCCCAGAATTGCACAAACTTCAATTGCGCTCTCCCTTTACTTTGTCCATGTACACATTGATATATTTTCACTTAAAAAGTCAAAGGAGCACCAAATTCTACAACATAGGCAAACAAAAAATACATATCTCAAGAAAATACATTTTAAACCAAACAATAAAATAACATCAAAAAAGGAAAAGCATGTTATACATTTAAGCACTACCAAACACAAATATTCACTTACCATGATTTTCGAGTTCGCTTCGTACACCCAGAGCCGCGTAAAAATCAAAATATCAATCGTACTCAAATGACTTTTTTCAAACCAGGTACTCCTTCTGATCGAACGCTTCACATAGTGACCATCTGAACCTTTCTTCCTACAAACCCATTCAAATCCATCTAAACGGTTTTTACGTTCGACTAGACTCATATCCTTCCTACATACAGGACACTTATAATGGCTACTAAGTAAACCTTCATTTACACACCAGTCAATTGAAGCTCTTTTCCCCTTTCACTCTAAATTGTACAGAAACTTCAAATTAGTCTTACTATATTCGGCCATTCTACCGTCTAAAGAATCAAACCAACCACACACCACAAAAACGCTTACAAAGCATCCCATGATTCAAAATTTCCCAGAAACATGCACCCGATTACGTCACATTAGGGTTTCCATAACATTCAACTACTCAGGCTACCATAAATGAAACAACAACTTGGCAATAAATGAAACAACAACTTCGCCATAATACAAGGGGTACCTTAAAGTCTACTCTACCCGTGGTTTTTAGTAATTGCAAAATATTTATGATTATTATTTTTGGATGAAGTCAAAAATGTTAAAGTATTTAATTTGTGATTGTGTAAAATTTCGTTGGCAGTTATTAAAAAAAATAACATACACATTGGAAAATCTATTTTTTACAAAATTCTTTTTGTTGGCCACAGTTCAGCAATTGCTGCTATGAATGCCTCAAATGTGATACCACGGCTGAACTTGGTGCCTGAACGGGATCCATTGATGAGGAACCATTGGATTCCATGTGATGGTGAAACATACCTCTGTGATTTTTGTTTTCACATTTTATTGATCCTTGTAACGTCATGAAAAAGGATATTTCTGATTTACTAAACCAATTCGGTTGATCTTTACATTATGGTAACTTGGCGTTTTTTTGGCGAAAATTTGGCGACCAACTCTCCTACAGCAACCCTCTATTTTTTTTTCCCGACGCCATTTTGTCTTCACGAAGTAAAGACATGTTTCTTTTCTTTTTATCTACTCAACACTTCTTCCAACAATCTACTAGCCCAATTACACTTATGCTAGAAATTTTATCTAACAAAACTGCTTAATCATGACAAATATTCACTGCAAAATTGGGAAAAAGTGCTCAATACCATACTCCTTACGCATTTTTCAAAATAACACATACACATAAACCATGTACACGCTGACTTATTTTTACTTAAAAAAACATCCCAGAATTGCACAAAAATGGCATTGCGCACACTCTTCACTATATCCACGTACACTGCTTTTTTCTCATAAATTAGAAAAATTTCATGAAAATACATGACAATTTTCTCAATCTTAAACCCGGTAAAAAGAACATATATGAAATTACCTGATCGCGAAAAAGTATTTACCCTTTCCAAATATGAACATTTCCACAATAAAATAAATAAAATACCAAAAACTTTTACCTCTCTAAATCATCTATTACATTATACACGTCACCAACGATTCATACCGCAAGCATTACAAATACTTAGTATCAAAAATTTAAATTATTTCCATGCACGTTTACTTCAACTTAAACGTGTACAATTCCTACAAACATAAAATTCACAAAATAACTATCATTTAATTAAAATATCACTAAACCATGTACACGCCGACTTATTTTTACTTAAAAAAAACATCCCAGAATTGCACAAAAATGGCATTGTGCACACTCTTCACTATATCCATGTACACTGCTTTTTTCTCATAAATTAGAAAAATTTCACGAAAATACATGACAATTTTCTCAATCTTTAAACCCGGTAAAAAGAACATATATGAAATTACCTGATCGCGAAAAAGTATTTACCCTTTCCAAATATGAACATTTCACATATAAAATAAATAAAATATCCAAAAACTTTTACCTCTAAATCATCTATTACATTATACACATCACCAACGAATTCATACCGCAACCATTACAAATACTTAGTGTCAGATATTTAAATTATTTCCATGCACGTTTACTTCAACTAAAACGTATACCAAATTCCTACAAACATAAAATTCACAAAATAACTATAATTTAATTAAAATATAATCAAATTCAAAAACACTACTTAAAATATAAATGAGCACATACTTTAAATTAATACATACATAAATACCCATTTCGAATTCACTTTAGTTACGGGCCATGGGATCCAAAAATTCACGATCAACACTGTTTCACACAACACACTATGAAGCTAAAGTACAAAATGCTAAACGCAATAAAAATTTCCAGATTTTTTCCCTGATTTCCCCCTTTTCCGATTAAAGAACCGTAATTCATCCATTAATATCACATGACATATCCCATGATCTCTCATTTCCCTCACACAAAATAATGCGTAATCGGAACTGAGTACTGCTCACATTATTACCAAAGTCCCAGGTAGTAACCTTTATCGCCTCCAAAATGTCGCCAAACTACCAGTTACCATATTGTAAAGATCAACCACCAATTCAACTGCATAAAGATTTTTCTTCTTTTTATAGTTGTCGATACTGCATTGTCGAATGGTTTCTCTTTCCAATATATAATTGAAGAATATTATGCCCATTTTCACAAATTCTTGCTTTTGGTAGAAAACCTTTTTCTTATAAAAAATAACTATAGCTTTCTTTTAAGTTGACAGTAGATTGAAAATAGTAAGCATTATAAATATTTGCAATGAAAAGCTGTTATAATTTAAATGTGAAAATTTTCAAAAGCTGAAGAAATGGCAGTTACAAGTATGCAAGAAAAACTGTTATATTTTAAAATTGACAATACAAGAAATGCATATGCACAGAGAGGTAACACTGAAAGATCGCTATATTTTAAAATTGAAAATTTTTACTAGCCAAATAAACATGAACTACAAGCACGAAAAAAAAAATTGTTTTATTTTAAAAGTTACTGTAAAAGAAAAATATAATAAATGTATAGATAAATATAATTGTTTTTTCTCGCCGGTGTAGAAACATGTCAAAACAGCATTCTCACCAAGGTAATTGCAGAAGATAAGTACCTTTTTTTATTCTAGTTTTCAATTATTTAAAATTTATAAATTTGTTATTTTGTTGTGAATTATTCTTTTTATTCATTTTGTGAGTCGGGCTTGTATTAACAAAGTTCATATTTTTATGTAATTTATTTTGGTTTTCTCAGAGATGTTTATTGATGCATTTGTACAATATGTATCTTGTTGTAACAGGAGTTTTCTGTCAGAAGAAAACTTTTTAATAAAGTTAGAAAAAAAAATATTAAAGCAGTACCTTTAGTGTGGATAGTAATCACCACCCAAATCTATGATTTTCTTCTGTTTTTGCAGTTTTTCAAAGCCTTCGGACCAGAAACTTGGTGGCTATGAGTCCAAAAACAGATCAGCTTTATTTCAAATGTCCAGTGGAGGAAAAAAAAAAGGTAGCATTGCACGTGTGAAAAAAAAGGTAGAAGTCTCAAGGAGTGGTGTCAGGGCTGTATGGTAGGTGTGGCAAAAGATCCCATTCTAGTCTGTACGGAGTCCAGCTGGTGAATGCAGACACATGTGATCTTGTGTTATCTTGATGGAACATTACCTTTTTGCTTCGGAACTCATTTTGACGTTTTTCCTTGATAGCAGTGTCAACACGAACTAGCCATCTCACTGGACACCTTACTGTTGAGGGTTTTACCTTTTTCCAGATGCTGTTTGTGGATAATATCACAGCAATCTCACCTGATACAAAGCATGATCTTTTTATTATGTCAATTTGCGCTTTGCGATGCTGCCGACGGGCTCACTGGGTGTAGACCAACCCCCTTTTCGGTCTGTGTTGTTAAAGTAAATCCACGTTTCATCACAAGTGATGATCTGGTCCAGAATTTTGTCCTTGCGGTGATATTCGAGCAGATTACTGCAAGCCCGAAAACATGTGTTCTTATCTGCTTGAGTCAGCTCATATTGCACCCAGCAATTGAACTTGTACATAAAGTTTATGCAATGCATACCATGACTAATGGGCATGGCATTAATATCTAACTTTTTAGCAAGCTCTTGAGTGGTTGCATACTGATCTTCATCCACAAGTTCTCGCAGGCAGGCTTCATCAACATCAGTAGGCCGACCAGAGCACTCTGCTTCTTAAGTGTTATAGTCCTTGTTTTTGAACTTTCGGTACGGAACTTACACAGTGTCATAGGATACATTAGTACCTAAAGCTGTACACATGATTTGGTGACATTCTGTAACTGATTTTTTTTGCAACAGATCTGGAAGTAAAAAGATGGTTCTAAATGGTAGTATGATAGTTCCATTTCAAATGCCTTGTACTTAATGATAATGGTATTTTTTAACAAGTTTCATAACACAGTGTTCTAAAGGAAGTCTCTTTCTTTCAAACATCAAAAATTGTTTGACAAACTGCTATTAAACACACCAACGTGACCTATCTTTGCTGTGGTAGGAAGCTTTCATTAAAACCCGATATATTGCTCTATTGCTTTTGTTTATTAGGTACTTTTCTGGTAATGAGGTGTGTACTGAATTTGCAGAATTTTTTTTTAAAGCATAAGCATATTTTATATAATATCTACACGACATTGGGGACGCTTAAAATCCTGGTGAGCTAAAAATTATCTTGTTAGGTGGTAGGGTAAAAGGGGTGTGGAGATATTTCATGCATCTTTTGAGATGTTCTCTATCAAATTTTGGGAAAAGCTGCTCAATCAGTGCTGTGCAATTGTTCTTATAGAAATAATGGTTAAATTGCATAGTCTCATCTACTTATATCTGTATCTATGTGTGGAGAGAATAACAGTTACATTCTATTCATGTACACATCAATCTGTTTTCTGTTATAAAAGGTCAGAGACTTGTACAGTACAAAGTCTGTAATTCGGACTCGTCAGGACTTCGACAGTTCCGGATTAGAGTTTTTTTTCGGATTATAGATCATCAATTTAAATCTGGCAAGATGGCATGCAGAAATTATGCTATTAAAATTATGAAACCGTAATTTATGAAATAAAAAGCAATTATGATCTAAAGGGTATCAAATTTTACAAAAAAAAAAGCTTAATATTTATTTGTTTACTTCATTAAACATTTCTTTCAACACGCGCATGCGTAAAGCATACACGCATAATGTATGTACATTCTTTACGCACATGTGTAATGTATGTGCATTCTCTACGTGCATGAGTAAAGTTTGTGGCTTTGAGGTCTGGATTATAGATCATTCCGGATAATGGACTTCTGGATTACGGACTTTGTACTGTATACAGCCTTGCACACATGAAATGTTAAACATTATTCTTTATGTATAAAGCCCACCAGCGGCCGAGTGGTAACATCGCTGAACACTGGTGGTTCGGTCCAAGGTTCGAATTCCGCGAACGGGCTGGCTGCATGGGCGTTTTCATGGCCCCATGTGTAACGTATATACGAGCCAGTTTCCCTTAGAAAGTCCTCCACGAAAGCATACCTTCCCTTAGGCAGATAGCCCTTGAGGCTTTGCCATAATCACACACACACACATTATGTATAAAATTATATGTATTATATTCATATGTATAAAAAAATATACTTTCCGATTATCTGCTATCTCCCACCATAAAGTCACCAACTCATTGCCGATTTTGGAGAGCGTTCGTGAATAAGTTAGATTAATTTTTCGCCAAACTAATGTACAAAAAGCAATAGCTATTTTCAACTCGGTGGTGTACTAAGAATTCTATACAAAAACAATTAGTGAATAATTACCATTTTCAAGATTTTTTTAACAGTTATCCCCATGTATATAGCGATCTATACTACAGGTCAACCTAAGTTAAGAACACTGTATATACTAGAAAGTGTATGCGTCCACTGAAGAATATAGTTCTACCGTTTCGAGAAGTAATATTGTAAAAATTACGCTGTGAAATATGAATATTGCTGAACAAGGAGAACGTAAGGGAAAAAATGTGCAAAACGATAGATTACTTTGCATCCAGCATTTTAATGAAAAATTTGTTAAATTATGTCAATCAGTCGATGACCAGCAGGAAGACAGCCCCTTTTTTTGCCATTATTGGCAAAACTGTGAATTTCAGCAACCCCGACTTCACCCCCACTCTCAATGAAAAAAGCAATTAAAGCATTCATTCATTCACTGACCGGGAGGAGAAGAAAAGCAATTGTCATAGCGTCTGCATCATCTTCGACATATGTGTTTAATTTTCAGCCTCATAAAGCTGGAAAACCATTGTGCAGTGCTGCTAAGATTATTGTTATGAATGTTTTTGTCAAATTATGAGAGCATTTTCCTAATAAATTTGATAACGATATTGTTACGTTTGCTACTGAGTTGACTGGCATTTCTGTAACAAACATAAATCGCATGAAATCCGAATTGAATGAAAATGGAGGATTTTCGACTCCAGGTAAGAAACTATCTCTGAAAGTTGGTACGCAAACCAGAATCAAACCATATGATGAGTTAACTTTAGCAACAATACGAAGGAAAATTCATGGTTTCTTCTTACGGAATGAAATTCCCACTGTGCAAAAAGTGACTAAAGCTATAAATGATGAAGCTGATTTTCCAAATATGTCCATTCGCACAGTAAGACGAATTATGAATGATTCAGGATTTGCATACAGAAAATGGAAACACCTGTCAATTTAGATTGAACGTGACAATATTCAATGCTGGAGGCTTAGATATCTAAGAGATATAAAAAAAATATCGTTCACAGGGCAGGGCAATTTATTACACCAATGAAACTTGGGTAAATTATGGATTTATTCCTGAAGCATGTGATATATTTGAAGCTAAGAAAGGAGATTACCATGGGGAAATGAATTCAGAATATTATAAAAAATGGTTTGAAAAAAATTACTGCCTAACTTGCAACAGAACAGTGTAATTGTGCTGGATAATGTATCTCACAGCGTTTTGTCTGAAAACATTCCTTCTTCAAGTACAAGGAAGGCAAACATTCAGCTCTGGTTGACAGAAAAAAATATTTCTTGGGAAGCTGATATGCTAAAAGCAGAACTTTTAGTTCTCATCTCTAAGTTTTGAAAACAATTTGAATTCCATCGTATAGATGCTGCAGCTGCTGAAGCCAGACATACTGTTTTGCGTTTACCACCATATCATTGCGAACTGAACCCAATTGAACTCTTATGGAGTAGTGTGAAAGGGTATGTAGCATTCGAAAACAGGACTTTTAAAAAGGATGAAGTCCGTAAATTCATTGAGAAAGAAATTGATTTAGTGACTCCTATGCAATGGGCTAAATGCATCAGGCATGTAATAGAAGAAGAAAAGAAAATATGTTTTTTTATGTATAATGTGAATACGAGCCCGTTCCCTTTAGAAAGTCCTCCACGAATATATCTCACCCCTTAGTCAGATAGCTCTTGTATGCTTTGCCATATTCAAATCACCTAACCTAACCAATACGGAAGTACTGATCAATCAAGTTAACTATTGTAGAAGGAACAAGGATTTTTGTCTAAATGATGAGGTAAAGGACTTCTTTTATATAATACACTGAGATACTGTTTCACTCCAATGCAGAGCTTAGTCATTACATTACAGTTTAATTTTTTTATAATTTTTTAGTTCATATGAACATTTGGCAAATGTTCATGTGAACTAAAAAATTATAAAAAAATTATTTGCACTTTGTTATAACTAACAAAAGACATTTCTAATGTTATTTTTTTAACTGATTGGTACAAACTAATTGATATAAGATCATTTACGTCTTAATTTTTATGTTTGTTTTACAATTTTAAAGTTTTAAATATTTTTCTAATATCTCTGGTTCACTGTTTTGGAAGCAAAAACTGCGTAAACTCTTAAAAATTAAGAGAAAATAACTTCTACCAGATTTTCTAAATTTATACATTTTACTTTTAACTAAGCGAACGGTCTTGGGGAAGAAATTAACCCAAACTACAAGGAATACATTGTTAGCTCTTCCATTTCAAGTTTTAAGTAATGATTCAGGTTTTAAATATCATCAAATTCATATGCGTCATATTTAGATTATAGTGAAAAATTTCATATAAATTAAGACAATAAAATATTGTTACTTAAAAATATGCTGGGTTTGGCAAGAAGTCGCCAAATGTATAGCGAATTGGAGGAATTGAATTTCTGCGGGCTATTTGGTGCGTATGGATAACTTCAAGAACAGGGTTAAAAGCCATGAGAAGGTCGTTGTAGCATTGTATGTGTTCTCAGGTTAGCTTGTCGTGAAGTATAGTTTCACTTAAAAAAAACAGAGAATTGCACAAATTCTGCACCTATGAAACCATGGCATTGTGTACCAACCAAAACAGATGTGCTGTGCGCATAACTGTTGCCATATAAATGCTAATAATAATAATAATAACTGTTGCCATATAAATGCTAAATAACTGTTGCCATATAAATATATAAAAAATAAAAAAATTTGGCAACATCATGGGTTGCCACATAACTACTTCGGCAACATATTGTTTTGCCTCATGCTTTTTTGCAACATTTAACTGAGAGTGTGGATAGTCAGAAAGTACCTAAAATAGTTATTCTTTTCATGGAGCTTTATGTAATGTTAGTGTTGCTGCTATCTAATAGATCCCATGCCAACATTTACATTTGGTGCTAAGTGGTGCCCTATTAACAAAAAAAGTTGTTAGATCTAATGTAATAAAAACAGCATATTTGTTTAAAACTAGTGAATTTATAAATCAAATATTTTGTGTTTACAGTGATACAGAAGGAGATAAAACAGATCTGAAAATGTCTGGTAATGAAAAAAGTGTTATGGAGAATGAAAATGAAGAAAAAATGGACTGTGAAGAGCAAACAGAGTCAAGAAAGTATGAAAATAATGTAAAAGGTGACATATCTTCTCAAAAAGAGCAAGAGTCTAAAGAACAGTCTCAAAATAAGGCAAATGAAATTCCTTCTGATGTCAGCAAAAATGCCCCAGAAAATTTTCAGATTATGCAGAATAACAAAGAGTCAAGAATGCCAAAACAGAAGGAAAGAAAAGAATCAAAAGAAGATCGTATTCGTTCAAATGGGAATGAAGAAAGTCAATGTTCTGTTGATGAACCATCATCTGATACTCAAAACTGTTATTGGTAATTTTTATTTTATGATACTTAGTATGTTACAATCAAGTATTTTGCTATATTTTTATTCCATAGTTGCAGTGTACATGTATGGAGATTGCTTATAAACAAACAAAAAATCCATACTGCATTCATTGTATATATTTGTTTGTTACATATGGAAAATTCCCTTGACTACAAAATTTGAGAAGAATCCTGCCAAACATACACCAGTCATTTTTGCAGTCAGGTATTTTCAACTGCATTCAAGGTAGCAACAAATGTATCCTCCTCTTTGTAAAGCCTGCACCACATAAATTCATCCATGTACAAATCTAAGTAATGGCACATGGTTCCCCGTTGTTTTTTTTTGTTAGGTCATTTGGCTGAACCCCAAAGTAGTTAACTTTTTCAGTATGAATATTCCTGTATCTGGATCCGGTGATTAATTTTGAGTTCTTCAAATCTTGAACTATTAATTTATCGATTTTATAACCCTTCCATAAGCCCAAATAAATCAGAGATCCTTCTTCACCTTCCTATCAAAAACTGTTTCAAAAAACTAGTGTTTACAGTGATACACAAAAACTCATTATTCTCCCCAAACATTCACTGCTCAGGGAGCTGCACTTGCTTGGTTTTTCCACTTTGTAAAAAGCCTTTCATAGATTTCAACAATGTGTTTAAGCTCAGTTTTTTTTCCTCTGGTCTTTGTTAAAGGCTGTGTGCTCAAACTTCTCTTTAGTTCCAGTTTATAACTGTCTTGTCAGGTAAATCTAATTATTCTTTTCTCCTTCTAAGCATTATTAATTCTTTGCACAAATATACACTCAAACATATGCCTTTCTGAAAATATATTTGGTTTTTTACAAGTCTTAACCATGTCATGACCATTAATGCACTTTTTGAATGCAGGTGAGATTCTGTGTGTTTGAGAATACTTACTGCACTTTGTTCTCTAGTTGGGGGCTCTTAAATTAATTTTTCCCCCTAAAATTGGAAAAGAGAAAATATAGAACTGAGTGGGATAAAACTTTTGTCTTTAAATTTAAAATTACTTTAAACGAAGTGTTTTTGTAAGCAGGCTTTTCGATTATCGAAGAAAATTTCCTTTTTTTTAGTGAAAATAGTATCTTTTATTCTTGGCGAAAATGGCCATTGGGATGTACCATTACTTTGCATATTTAAGAAAGTTTTTATAGTTATTAAAAGTAATACTCTATATTTTTAGGAATTTAATCTTTTAGTATCACCATAACTACTGTAAAAAGTTCGAGATTCAGAATCATCAAATCTTGGTGATTTGATGATTCCACAAATTTCCATAAGCTAGAATCATCAAATTTTTGGTGATTCTGAATTATGGAAATTTGTGGATTTTAGTATGTCAGTTTAAATCTAGTAAGATGACATGTAGACATAGAAACATTGAAGCTTCACTTATTGTTTAATTTAGATAAAAGAATCCTGATATCCCACAACTACTCAAGGATAAAAAGTGTGGTCATGGGCAATATTAACACTTTGCAAACCACACATTTATCGAAGCGCCATTACGCTGCCGCCGGTTCACGCAGCTTCTACTGCTCGCCAACGGTGATATTTACACAATTTTTCGAAACACAAGTAGTTGGTATATAATTATTATTAAAGAAAGCACTAAAATAACTGTTACACTATTTTTATTCCATTTTATTCCAATTATATTTTTTAATTAGTACTAAAACATTTTATTTAAAGAATTTAACTCCTAGGATCCATAGTTCCTTTTAGTATGATAATTCTGAAAACATTTTCCAACATGCAGAGAAACATTGCAGGAAGAACACATGTATGCAGTGGAACTTCTTTTCAGCAGTGGCTTATATATACTCAGTGCAGACTTTATATACTTATTTATACTCAGGCCCTTCGCGGATTTTGAATTCTCCCATTACCACTAATACGTGTTATTCTATATTTTCTCACGTACGTAGTAAGTCTGCCTGGTGGATCAAACCTCGGCGATTTTTTATCGCATTGAACAGCCGATCTTGATTGTTGCTCCCCTTCATTCCAATTAATCCATGCTAGTGCAAGGTTTAGTAAAAATTGTTTGAATCTAATAGGATTTTCAGAATTTTTTATGTATATCTGGAACGCGTTGAGTAATGCACAGTTTATGAGATATAAAAACCTTTTTTTTTTGTCCATTTTTTTGTTTTGTGAAGTATGGAATAACACGGCGTGATCAACACCTTTCATAAATTTATTATACTCTTGTATGCAAATTGGTTTAATGGACTTCTTTTTGGTTCTTTTACTCACACATTCGACCATGTCTGCTGAATGTATCGTAGAAATCATCATTATCAATTTTTTGGCCGAATTCCATTTTTGTACCATAATTTTCTACAAAATTCCATTGGCTTATTTTTCAATGTAGCAGATTTTAAACAATTTGGCACTCCTCTGTTTACTCTAATTGTGCCACAGATGTTTGTTTTATGCTTTAGTAACTCCTCTGCAACCTTTACACTATTGTAATAGTTGTCCATATATACATCGTGCCATAAATTTAAATATGGTGATAGCACGGACAATATTGTCACAATTAGCGATTTTCCTTGCGCACAATATATTTCTAAATTGCATATATAACCAGATGTCACCTCACACACCATACAGACTAAAATTCCATATTTTATAATTTTCGCAAGATTATGTGTACGAAAAGATAGCCTGCACCTCCATAGAATGATACCTTCATCCAGCGATAATTCTTTCTTGGGTTTATAAATTTTTTGAAACTTTTCTACCAGTTACGAGTAAATTGGTTTTATTTTATCAAGCCTTTCTTGGCAACGCTCATTATTACTGAAGTGCCAATACTTCCATAACTGCCGAAATCAGTTCCTTGGCATAGTATTCCCAAAAATAGGTGTATATAATCCAGGGTGAGTAGACCAGTAATCGTCTTGTTCTGGTTTTCTTACTATTCCCATTAGGATAACAAGCCCCAAAAGTTTTTTCATTTCTACAACATTTGTATCAATCCAAGCTTTATTCTTTGTCGATGCATTGTTGTTATCGTTATTCCGCTGAAGTTCAGTTCATTTCAATTTCATCAAGCTATTTCCTTCATTTCTTCATCCATTGATACTTCAGATGCCCTTTCAGTCATTTCCACATCATATTTTATGGCTTTAGTTTCTTCTGTAAGCTACACTTTCATCTGTGGGAGTTGCTTTCACACCTTTTCTTGAACGACATTTATTTCTTCTCGTCCTCCTGCCTTCTTCTCTTCCAGTGTAGCTTTCATCTCCTTCTGTTCAGCTTTGATCTCTTCCAAGCCAGCTTTCAACTCAGCCTTCATCTCTTTATATCCATCCGGCTTTCATTTCAGCTCTCATCTCTTGATATCCGGCTTTTATTCTTCTTGTCTGGCTTTAATCTCAGCCCTCATTTCGGCTAAGAAGTCCCTCAAAGTCTTTGTTTTCTCTCCCATGGCTTTTTTTCTTCAGGCGGGTCACTGACATTCACTCACAAATCCCACTTCTGACACCACTTGTTGCGGTATTTTTTTTCTGACACCAGTTGTTACATTATTTTCTTCCTTCGCGTTCGTACGGGGTTGTTAAGGTAAATGTACGCGTTCGTACGGGGTTGTTAAGGTAAATGTATGTATACGTATTAATGTAGCATAACAGAAACATTTCAACCAATACAGTATCAATCACAGGACATAAGAGTTTGAGTAATGATTCGAGTTAAACATACAATAAAACAATTCTAAATTTCAGAAAGTTGCATTGTGAAACATAATGTCGGGCAGTAACCCGTTCAAATACTATGGTCCATTGCAAAGTCAAATAATTAAAATAATTACAAAGCTAGGTAGGTAAAATCAATCTAACGTTTATTTATGGAGATAATTGTAAGAGTACAGTTACATTTTAATTTGGTGGTGACCGGTCATCTATTATCTGAAGAACAACAGAATGGTTACATACCTTCTTTACATATTTAACAATTCATTGTTCCCGTTGGGAGGCATCATATAAAATTTGGGTACTTGATACAGGCGTAAAAACTCAGACAAGATACTGTCACGATGCAGGGAATAATAATTAAACTTCTGAAGATACATCTGCAAGAAACAAAAAGGACAATATGAGAACGGTTAATGGGCAACACTTTCGGAGGCTAGGCTTTCCACCCCGCAGTCGCTTCCAACCGGTTGGACTCCGGTCTTCCCCAAAACACCATACTTAAGTTAGTAAATACTCAGGAATTCTTGATTAAATATGCCTTCCTTCTGTGTAGGTTGTTTAATCGTTCATCACACCAGGGACTCCGGACTGCTGGTCTCCGCTCTGTATCTTAGAAGTCATCTCTCCTTATTTTTCCTCAGAAAATTTCTTTCTCCATCTCCTTGGCTCCGTCAGAAAAAAAAAAAAGGTGTAATCGAAAATCTTTTCTCCGTCTCCCCCCTGAAAACACTGCGCAGCCACTTTAATAGCTGGCGCGTTTTTTGAAAATTTGGTGAAGAAGGTGAACAGCAAGAAGCCAAGTCCAGCAACCCAAACAGAGAAATCTTCACAGGAAGGGGTTTCCCGACTACCAGAAGAGCCAGTTAGCACAGTTCAATCATTCGACCTCCATGGCCACTCCGATGTGTCAACAATATCCGCAGACGAAAACAAGGGGGAGGGGCATTTAGCCTCGCTGTCGAGGTGCAACTCACCCATGTAGAGCTTCCTATCCAACGATTATTTCCCCCTCCTCACAAATTCACTGTAGAACCTTTCCCTGCTAGCGCTGTCACAGCAACCGGGGTCTTGTTTAAGTGAAACTTTAGATGGTGTAAACATCCAACACGTCATCCGACATGTGTTTACGAATTCCAAGTTTTTTATAAACATCAGTAATAGCTCGGGAAATAAAATTAGTACTTCTGTCTGTAATTATATGCTGTGGCACTCCATGAGAAGCAATAAACAATTCCAGTTTTTCAATTATAGTTTCAGACGAGCAATTTTGTAAAACAT